ACACACACACACACTCAGGGAGACAGCCTCACACCTGCAACACACATACACACGCTTACAAATATCATGCACCTGCACACAGCCACACAAATATGATACATGCAAATAGTCCTGCACATACAATGTGAACACACACTACAGACAGGTCTGACCTTGCTTTTTTTCCCCATCCTGGAACAGCAGCCTGAGTGTCCTGTGCAGTTTTACCTGGCAGAGCAACACGAAAAAACAATGATAAATCTCATCTCTTCTGAACTGGTGCCTCCTAGCTAACAACCAGCTTTCCAGGGGAATATTTGGAAACCCTTGAATGCACTCTACCACCTTCGGCAATTTCAAACCCTTGTGTCGGAGATATCTATGCAACAATGTCCCGCTAAGACAGTTTTCACAAAACACCCGACAGTGCAAGCAGACAGCCTGCTTATCACAGCACAACTTGAACTTGGCTTAGACGGGGTCTTCCTTCGCCCCACAGCGCCAATTCCTGGCTCTTGTATAGCGCCGCTGAGCTCTGCCTGAATCTGTTTCCCTCGCGGGGGGTACGAGAGAGCACAGTGCAGTGTTGACGTTTAATCAGACAGCCCCTTGTAGGGTAGAATAATCTTTGCAGAATCCAGAATCTCTGGCCAGTCTCTTGTGTTCCCATAAACACCTAGACAGGGCAAGAATGAGTGTAGTGGAGGAACACGACCCAACACTAACGCAGACTGTCTATTCTGCAGTCCAGCTGTCCCATGGGGGACACAGCTTCTTTCAGTCGGCTGTACCCTCCGGTCCAGAGAGGGCACCCCCTGAACCCAGAGACTGGGGGAAGGTTACACAGTTTCACACGACACCGACACACACACACACCCGCCTGGAGACAGGAAGGTTAGAAGCGCGCAGACGAGAATTAGGGCCAGACAAGGCATCCCTGAGGTTTGAGGGCGGTGTGGAAGGGCCTTGCAGGTTTTTTTAAAAACGCAAAATAAAGCCAGGCGTGGGGGTAATCCGACACCGTGCTCTGTCTCGCTTCGGGGCGGAAGTTTGATTAAAGTAGCCAGACTGCATCCCTGCCTGTAGCTGAACTGT